CGCTTACCATCAAGCCGCTTGCTAATTTGCTCTTTCACACATCTATTCAAGCAACATTTTCTCAGTGTTTCAACAGACATTTTTTCACTTCTTTCTTTGTTTTCTTCTTGATTAGATCCAGGCTCCTTCACATGTTCTGCAGTTTCTAATTGACCATGAGTACTTTCTGAATTTTCTAAAGAGTTATGCACTTCTAATGGTTTTTCTTCTACAGACGTTTCTTTAGATTCCAAGGCAACATCAGAATTTCCTGCTTTATATGGACTAGAATGCTCTGAATGCATCGCTTGAGAATCTTGCGATGCAATTCTGTCAGGTGAACTAGAAGATTCAGAAATGTTTAAAGGAGTAGCTGCTAACTCTGTTAAATGTTTTTCAAACTCTTTGTGTGGCCGTGGAGGTTTCTCTGTTATTTCTGAAAGCTGAATGGAACTATTACAAAGTTTTGAATATTCTCCACCCAATCTATGACATAATTCATTGATAATAACATCACAGTCACCAAGAAGCTCCACATCAAAGTGTAGATGAGGCAATGGTTCCCTATTAATTAGAATTTGAGGCACTTCATGTGGGATGGAGCCTACATATTTAAGAAAAAAAAATAAAGTCAGTGATTATTAACAAACTGGATAAGCTGGATAATTAATGGTAAGGAATATATATAACTACATAAATAATTGAATAATTCTGAATTCTGCACAATTGTATGTTATTTAAGGTATGTTACATACATAATATTTCCTTTTTCTAACATGCTTCCACATCTATGATGCTCTCTAAATTCTGGCACTATTCATCATGATCACTAAATTTAAACTGCAACAAGGGCTCTCTGTTCTTCTCGATACATACATAATCAGTACTCACTTGGAATCAATGCTACTGGTCTTACTTTGAGTGAAGACCCAATAACAATAAGAAGATCAACTTCATCTTTGTCATATTTCATGGCCCTGTGAAACTGCTCAGGTAGATTTTCACCAAAGAACACAATTTCTGGCTTCATGATAGCAAGTGGTTCATCAGGTGAACATCTGGGACATCTAGGAACAACCTGATTAAAGAATTTGTATTCATTATTAGCATTCATTCATTTTATGTAAGCAGAATTCTAAGACCTGCATAAGTTCCACACATTTTTTCCAACAGAATGAAGCACAACCTATGTTGCATATTAGTATGAATTTTTGTAGAGGACTGTAAAGAGAAAGTTATATGTCTGCAGCTAAGGAACTGACTAATGAAATCATAACCCAAGAATCTGCCAGAACTGTAATTTCATTTTATGTAAGCAGAATTCTAAGACCTGCATAAGTTCCACACATTTTTTCCAACAGAATGAAGCACAACCTATGTTGCATATTAGTATGAATTTTTGTAGAGGACTGTAAAGAGAAAGTTATATGTCTGCAGCTAAGGAACTGACTAATGAAATCATAACCCAAGAATCTGCCAGAACTGTAATTAACTGAATTCCATTGTCTATAAAACCTTTAAAATTACAGCAATCATGTCCGGTTCTAAGGCATCCAGCCATTTTACAGTCTTGAATCTTCTAAACATTCCCTTGCAAGATTCTTTATCCCTTACTCTAGCTTTGTTATTTGCCTGGATACCGTATGTGAGTTCACTTCATTTTGCCACATTATCTCTATTTTTTTCACATAGATTAATTATGTCCAAAGTAAAACTTTGTTCAGTTGTGGAGTCCTTGGTGCTCTCTGAGGTTTGTTGTTTGCTTGCAGACATTTCATTACCTGACTAGGTAAACATCAGCAGTACTCCAGTGCTTTGTTCAGTTAGTCTATTACTACAATATCGTTACTAACGCTGGAGGTTGTCACTTTTTATCCCAGCCTGAAAATTTCCCTAGAAAAGGACAGACGCAAGCTTATAATAGCTTTCATTTCCATTTCATTGGAATCTTGCTGAAAATCAAAATTAACTGTAGCACAGCTAATCACTACCAGAGCTATCATAAACTCTGCAGATTTTACAACATTTGTAATAAGCTAGATAACCACATGGGGCTGTCCTAGATCAACTAGTCCAACCCTATTTTGATGCATGATGCATGAAAATGAAGAGTTAAAGCACTGCCATCAAACTGTTAGTAGTCCTGTTTGAAAACCTTCACTAAAGGAGAGATTTCCTTTAGCTTTCACTGACTTTATTAAAAAGTAATGTTGAGCTAAAGTGTTTTCCTCTGACATTTAAGGAATCAGTGACAGTATTTTAGTTGCTTGAAGAACATTATCATGTCCTGGTCAAGCATATACACTTTCTTCAATCCTTCTTGAACATATGTTTGGCCATCTTTAAGGGGCAACTCCAAAGCTATTTCAATTTGTATTCATCCTTTAAAAAAATGCAGTGCTTTATATTAGATGGTATTTCCCAGTTTTGCTGTTAAACAATTAACTATTCTTTGCATTTAACTCTCATCCTGTGCTTCAAAAGGAGAACTGATGGGATGCAAATATAATTAAATAAATCATTATACATTATGCAATTGTGGAGTCTGCAACTGGTTCTTTGTAAACAACAGTACTCATAGTAATTATGTACAGCTATGGTTCACATATTTAGATTCAGAGAATGCTGTATTTTAAATATCTGAGTTGTATGGGATCAGTTTTAACAAAAAGGTTAAATGGTTCTAAATAAATAAAAACAGGGATTCTTCACTGAAAGCTGAGTTTTATGCGGACATTTTATTGCTTAAGACTCCTATTTTATGTATGTTCATTCAGCAATTCTACTCAGCCCCACAGAGTTTGCATGCTTATGGTTGTATTCTAACTATATCTAATAATATTTCTAATATACAGTTCTTTTTCACCACTGAAATCTAAAATAATAATTACCTGATTAAAAATATCTCCTCGTACAACTTCACAATCAACCTTGTATTTACAGATGAGGCAAGAAGCCGTTGCAAAGGAACCTGAAACACAGATACCAGCAAATAAAGGAACATACCAGTTGCCAGTTTTTTCCAACTCAGG